TCACATTTACGATATGTAAGTAATCAGTTAAAGAAATTATAACTACTGAAAATTGTGGAGGGTGTATTTCCCTCACTTTCTTTCTCCGCGTCTGGCTCTCTCATTTACCTTATTCCTTTAATTGTAAATATTTCAGCTTGAGTGACGAAGAACTCGAGGTGCGTCAATGCGCTGTCAAGATGCTGTCATTCTTAGTACTACACGAGATGGTGCGCGTCAAAGGTCAGATAGCGGACATGGCGCTGTGCTGCGCTGACAAGGACGCTCGCGTCACCGCCATGACGCGCCTGTTCTTCAAGCAGCTGTCGCAGAAAGGCAACGCCCTCTATAATGTTATGCCAGACATTATATCAAGACTCAGTGATCCAGAATTAAATGTGCCTGAAGAACAGTACAGATATATCATGAAGTAGGTATTCAGCTAAGTATTATTATAAAATAAAAAACTTAAAACTACTGCACCCATTCAGTACATTCTTTCGACGCTATAAATTAAAAGTAACTTATCAATTTTCAGATACATAACATCACTTATACAGAAAGACAGACAAATGGAGGCTCTCGTAGAGAAGTTATGTCAGCGGTTCAAATTATCAACAGAAGAAAGGCAATGGCGAGACCTGGCATACTGTCTGTCTTTGTTCACATATAACGAGCGCTCGCTCAGGAAGCTGATAGAGAACATGGACTGCTATAAGGACAAGCTGCACTGCCCCGGAGTCATGGAGTCCTTCACTGCACTAATGAACCACACATCCAAAATGGCCAAGAATGAAATAAAGGTATGTTTATATCTACGTAGCTTCACATAAAAACAAACTCAATTTTTAGGGTGGAAAATGTTATTTTCACTTTACAAGTTTTAGAGTGCCATAGCCCAGGCAGTATTTCTAAATGTTTGCAAGAGTCAAATAAAAGTTGACAGAGCTCAATAATAATAAACACATATTATAACAGGCATTAGTAACAGAGCTGGGAGATAAGATAGAAGAATGTTTCGCGGTACGGGACGCGGAGGAAGGTGACAAAGACGGCAGTGACGGCGCCGACAAGCATGCAGCCCCTAAACCCACACCTAGGAAGGCGCCCCGCCGCGGCAGGAGGCGGTCCAACTCCAGTTCTGATGAGGAGGTACACTTAAAAAAAATATTTCGCTTCTCACTTTCAAGTCGATTATCGTACAAAACTCTGTCAATATCAAGCTGTAATTTAGCAAATATATTGTTAACAAATTCTCAAATTGCGAGCGAGCGTCAAAGAATAATAAACAAACTTCCTCGACAGTACCTCTTAGCCGACTGTTATACTTTTCTTTAAAAGCAATTTACGTTAATAACAGATTTATTTTTGTATTCATCATAATTTTTATAGAATGAGCCACCCAACAAACCACCGCAAACACCGCAGACCTTAAGAAAATCACGAAGGAAACCTGCCACAAAGAACAAAACTCAGGTGGTTGATTCAGAAGACTCAGGTAAATGTAAATTTATATCTTAAGTTTCAAGAATGTTTATAATTTCAAAATAGGGTGATATAAAAACTATTGTTAATTTGATTTGCCAGCTCATTTTAAAAAGTCATTGTATTTTTATCTTTTAGATGATGACGATTTTGAAAAGAAAACAGACGATGACGTTTTCAAAAAACCGACGACACGAAAGGGGACGCGGAGGCGAAATTAGAATTCGCAAACATTATTATTAAGAATAATTTAATTGAGCGTTTATTTTCTCAGAGAAAGGCTTATAAATAAAATGTTTGACATATTGTTTGTCTTATTATTTTTGAATTATAATAAAGGAATATAGAGTTGGAGAAATTAATTAATTACTAGAGCATTAACTACGAACAAGCACTTATTCAAAACTTGGTTTTGCTTTTGTAAATAGACGAGAGAGTAAGGCACATGAGGGGCAAAACGTCTTACTAATATTGTAAATGTGATGTTTGGATGGATGTTAGAAGGTATCTCCAGAACGGCTGCATGGATCTAGCTGAAATTTGGCGTAGCTGTAGAACATAGCCTGGAAGAACACAGGCTTCTTTTTTAAAATGACCCGCGGAGCTACATTTAAGTAAAAAATGATTTCAGCCACTGAACATAGATTAAGAATAAAACTGCTAATTCATGACGCGATATGGCAACACTTACAACTAATCTGTATGTCTGTCATTATCAGGCAGACGAAACTCTATTAGTCTATGGTACAAATTGAACGCAAACGGAGATCCTCCATCTTGAAAATTGTGTCTATCCCACTCATAAGTTTCTCTATAATTTTTGGGCTGTTTAAAATAAAAACCATAGTGCATATGAATAAATTGTGATTTAAAAATTTATAATTTCTTTATATTTAAAGTTTAGATAATAAATAAACAACAATTTAATTAAGTTATTTGAAGTATGTAATTTAAAATTTACAATTTATTTGTATTCATCATGAAAACCCCCCCCCCCCCCCCCCCGACAACGATGTCCTCCGCCGTCCGCCATTAAACTTTCATTCTCTCATATAACAAACTAAATTTTTTATGATATTATTATATGTAAAATCTAACTTTATTTGGTAAGAATATTGTAGTTTCAGTGTGAATTGTGGGATTAAGTGTATTATAATTTTAAGAGTTAGAAAGCTGATGTTTTCTTCTGAGAAGATTTCCAAGAACCATGTGGTAATTACATTGTGTTTTTTAGTATTATATTTTGTATTTTTTGTTGTTTTGACTATTATTCTATCTCACTACATAT